ATTTGTCAGGGGCCAAAAGCAAACAACACTAAAAAACGGAGCCAGGCTCAATTTTCTTTTACTCAATTCTCATTACTTTTATCCAATCCACGCGAATTTTCAGAAAAAAAAAAATCCCAAAAGTTAACATATAATTGGGGGGGCGCCCTAAAAACGGAAAAACCGCCGGGGGGGCACGATCTTTCTCTCTCTTCCTTGTCTATCCTCTTCCCTACATAGCAGGCGTTCCATAAGTTGCCGCCTTGCAAGATGACGCCTCATCAATGACCAAACGCTGAGCAGTGTTTAGTTTATCTTTATTGTTTGTAATACTATTAAGTTTACAGCCGACATATCATTCATTTTTGCTGAGAGAACTTGAAAAGTGAGAGAACTGAACTTGAGATGTTTCATATGAGTTATTGTTGAGTTTCAACATAATGAAGAATTAATAAAAATAAATAATATTTAATCGTGCCTCAAGATTTTTGCTTTGACTACAAACTGACATGCCTTCATCTTCGCAAGAAACCCTTCTCTGTTTGTGCTTATTGTATTATTTTATTGCAAGCATTGAAACTACAAGAAATTTGGTTGAACTTTTTCCTACTTATTGGCCATGCCTTTGAATGTTACAAAGAATGAAACAATCAAGTTGGTGTTTTATCATTAATAGTTATATAGCCGACGTACTTTCAAGATTACATCAAATATAATTAATGGGGTCAATTACAAATTTATGCGCTATAATAATTGTCTACAGGCTTAATTCACTAATTGAAATTGTACGAGAATCACTTTAGAAAATATTGGTAATTAATGCGATTGGAATGATAAGGATTAATACTTGTAATGCAATATTCTATAAAAACAATCCATTACTTAAGTGTACTATAATTCATTTTGCTATTTCATACTCTTTAGGTTCGACATCAGAGTAATATTGTATAATTATTTTATTTACTGAGACTTGTAAAGATATTCATTATAGTGGTTTCCTTACATGTCCATACCTGGATTATGATTGCGTTCACAGAGCCGCCCTTCGGATCGGGCGCAAGAGTACAACGCCTCCGCTGCAACCATGCGCGACGAATTATTTTGACGACAGCCAAAGAAAACACGAGTGCCACAGCAATCACAGAAAAGCATCGTGCGCACAGCAATCACAGATTACCAGCAAATCACGAGAAACGCGTGTTTTCCATTCCAGCCAAGCCACAGAAAAACGTGTGTGCCAAAGCAACCAGAGAAAACGCTGTGGCCACAGCAGCCACAAAAAACGCGTGTTACGCACACGCAGTCTTAGTCGTAAACAATTTTCTTTCTCTATTAGAAGAAATACTCAGTAAAAGATATTACTTTAACGAGGGGAACCGTGGAACCACTACATACATTGGCGGCAAGTGGCTGGCAAAATAAACAAGAAGGATAATAGGCGCACTCGTTTTTGTCATCGCGCTCGTTTTACAGATAGCTCTTATGTACGTGTCTTCAGCACTGTCCTCTTGCATGGTTAATCATACTGCATGGGCGTTCATTTGTTCCTGAAATGACAAAGTGGCCCGCCTTCTTACAGGTATCTCTCCATACATTTTTCGGACTACGTGGGGCCAGCAGATGTTCAGGTCACAGCGTGAAAAACGCGATTCGATTTGCTCGATTGTCAATCTGCTCCGGAGAGGAGAAATCGGCCAATGTCTCAATTTTCATTCAACATTTGAGACCGTATTTTTATTATTCAGTAGTAATTTCGATCTTCGGTATCTCTCCTTCCTTAATTCTTGAAAATTTTCTTCAACACTCCTCTTCATTATAAGAATACGTTCAGAATGCCGCTTCTCTGGGCCCTTGCATTTTGTCGCAATATTCAACCATTCGGTTTTTTTACTTTTCCTCATTCAGATTCAAGATCAAATAGGCCATCGAGCGTACGCGAAGAGAGAATTGAATGACACAAAAACATCACTGTAATATCACGTTTAATTGTTTTTCGGACATTTTTTTTCATTTCTGAATAAAGCTGAGTCAATAAACAATGATTTCATTGTGGAAAAGACTATTAAAGACTTTTACATTACTTATTTCAACTTATATTTAATAAATATATAAAAATTATTAATACATTAATGTATTATAGAACTGTGATAGAAGCTGAATTACTTTAATCGTATACTCCACCGTAGAAATGGAGAGATTACTGGCAATTCTGCAAGAAAAGGTCCGATTTTTTCGACCTAAAAAACCGTGTTTTGTAGGTACACCCGGTACCTCGAAAAGTGGATTTCTCTTTGTCGCTAGACGTAGTAAGTTACTTCTTCGAAATACATAGTGGTCAGCATTGCACTTCATATTTGAGAAAGTAACTAAATGTTTTGCACCCTTGATACCAAAATATTTATCATCTTCCTAGTGTTTTCTTGCGTCTGTCTGTGAAGAATTCAAAGAAAACCTGGGATTCCAAGTTTTTCCTTTCAATAGAGCCTTTTAAGATAATTGTTTGCTTCATCGCCACACCCTTGACGTTTCCAACACTATGATCTGACTAGAGTTTTCCAATTATTATGTATTTTCTTCTTTGCTATGTTCAGGCTCCCTAAATTGTGACGTGGCAAATCATAACAATCTAATCCAAATCTTCGTTATATATTTTTACTTATTTTATTATCTATGCGCGCCAGGAAGCACCTATCCGAGCAGAAATCTGACGCCACGCCCCTTACCGCTTTCTCGGCCCTCAGCTTGTCGTGCGCGGCGCTGACGTCGCAATGTGGTGCCGTCATCTCGCGCCCGCCCCCTCCCCCGGTCGCGTTCCAGCCTGTCTGGTTCTCACCAGCATAATGTCTGTTTGGCCAGAACTCTCACCAGCAATGGTGGCACTGTGGAGAGACTTTCTTATACGTAGTCTAATGTATGTTTACATCATCTTTTTATATAAAAGACATGGATTTTTGTTGGTTGTTTGGTTCGTAGCTTAATGCGCTGTCGTACCTTTCATCCGAGTTGCGTATGAAACTTTGTCAATTTAACTGCTTGCAACTTTTGACGAGAATACAGATAGTGATGTGAGGATGTTTTCATGCTGACCCAAGCGCCCCGGTTCAGGCTCTCGTACGCCAACTGCGCTCGTACGCAACCGCAAGCACCCTGAAGTATTAAGAGTTCTGCCCTGCGATTGTGAAATAACGCCCGGAGACCACTGGGAGAGACAGAGGGAGACAGGAACACAGAAACAGAGGGAGCAGGAAACAAACGGCGAAAGAACAGAGGATAAAGAGAGACGAAGCAGGAAAAGGGACAGTAAAGGAGCCGGAGAGAGCAAGGGAGAGGGAAGAGAAAGAGATGGAGGACAGGGCAACGTCGCTACCTAGCGGGTTGGCGCTAAGTAATTTTTATATAGATTGCTTCATTTTTACATATTTTGAATGAACATTTTTATATTATTCTGCAATTTTCCTTGAAATTTAACTTCGTTAAAATATTTAATCGAATTTTTTTCAAAATTGTTTTTAATTAAAAATAAGGATATTTTTCTTCTACCATTCAGAATTGCGTGCCTCAGCACGTGACGTACTCCACGTGAAGGCGCGTTTTCAGATGCACTGGCGGTCTGTCGTGGCTAACTTCGTCTTGCACTGCATTTTATGTTGGACATTTGCGTGTGAGCGCTAAGGATGTAACCTTTAACTGTGGTAGTATCAGAACAAACGCCCTTTTTCTTGGATCTTTAATCCGGAATTTCCGAGAAATACTGGTTGCTGCAGGCATCGTGCAAAAGGTTATTTTTTTTAGTTTGATCTTTAATGGTCATTGAATGTTCGAAGTTATAGGTTGTTTACGAACAAAAATGTTGTGTTAAAAGATAAATCCAGAAGTTTCACCAACATTTTTTTAATAACTGACTTAATAAATATTTGATTTCTATGATTTTAAATTTTTTAAATTTATTTATTTGTAATGTTCTAAAAATAGAACGAATTTAGGTAATTACTTGTTAGTTTGATGCTATTCAACCCTAACAAATAAAATAAAATATATATAAATTGTGACGCTAAAAACAAAAATTGCACTATAAAATGAAAATTATGCTGGGTTTTAAACTTAACTAGTCAATTATTTATTACTTTTATTAGCTTACAGGAAACAACTATTTTCACATTGCTGTTGGGGCTACCAATTATATATTGTTAAAGAATTTTTTAAAATTCAAATTACTTAATTCCTAAAAATGCACTGGGTATATGTGATAGTTAGTGTGCTTATTGATTGTTGTCAAGTAGCATAGTGGTCACTAACTCAGCCATTGTTGCATTTTAATGAGACAAGATTTTAAGGTCGCTGAATCCTCGTCCTGTTGTGCGCTGAGTTAACGCATCATATAACGAGAAAAACTTATTTCACATCACATGGCGGTGAGGGAGTGGCAACTTGAAATACAATTAAATTCACATGGAGAAAATTCCTGCCGTGGAAATCCTTCAATCTGGCAGATGGAAGGTTTTCCCGCAAACGGAATGTCACTTTTATTCCACCCAAGTTCAAAAAGTCCCTCACTGCAAAGTATTATTTTCCGGGTACAGATTTTCTAATTTTCACAACCACACTCTGAATGCTAGCTGGTTTCCTTTCCTGTTCAAATGGCAGCTCTGCTATTTTCCAATGCATTGCTTAGTTTTGTGGCACCTGAAGTTTTTTAGGTTGGGCGTGATTGCTCCAGATTAAAGAATGAAAATTGACTTTAATATATAGCTCTAGGCGCGCCACTTTTAATCGTGAGCTTAAAAACCAACTTGAGTAATTTTTATAGAGGATGAGTCGCAGGATGCAAAGATTTTACGAATATTCTTCTAAGTTATTGGCATAGTAACACTGCGGCATCAAAGTCAAATCTCCCAATGCGTTTTACTGGCTGGGGAGGTAAGGCAAGTGAGGTGCTTCTTGGAAATGTTCTGAATGGCGCAGTGAAGCATTGGTCAAAAACTTTTTTTGCATTTTGAGATATTAATTTGATCTACTTCAAGGTAGCTACTCTGACTTCTTCATGCTACCTCTAGGCAAGGTATGTGCAACACATAGGCACATGTAACATTTTTGGCTATAGAATTTTTAAGCCCGATAGCTACTTCTCATCATAGGCGAACTGAGGTGGGTGGAATGACAATTCGGTTTTCTTTAAGCTCTTTCACATGTCAGAAGGAACGTATTTTTCAGGCCAGTCCTTGTTTTAGCGTGGCAACAACATCTGTTTGCTACATATCTTCCCATCCACGAAGCTGGCAAGTTCGGTCTATTGAATCCATATTTTACTTTGCCCTGCTACATCCATAATTTGATCGCATACCTCTGCCTTTAGCAAGGGATTATTATAGTTTCCTGGAGGCACAATTTGTTAGGAAACAGGATGTTGTGTATATTTTTTCAAGAAACTACAAAACTTCTAATTGATAAGTTTTTTAAAAACATTTAGACGAAGCCATCATTGTGGCAGAGATCTTTCCGACAAATTGTGACACTGTGAATTTGATATCACTGTTTCGAACGTAAGACGTGGCCTCTTTTTTAAATGCAGAATGTCTAGTTACACATCTATGTTTACTACAGTATTGATATGTCTTGTTGTTATGTTTATTTACACGTGTGAGCCCATGGTCGAAGGGATCAAAGGCACTGACTGGCTGGCGACGTTTAGAAGACAAAAAAAAACAATACTTAAGGAGATTGCTCCGACGGCTCAATGCCAAAGAAGGGCTTTAGAATGTGTTTTGCACAGGACGTATGCAACTTAAAAAGTTAAAAACAATCTAAAAATAGTACAGTAAAGGCGTTTTTTAGCAAGGAACTTTTTACTCTCACAATTTACCAACAATATCATCCATCGGTGCGGGATATGCTTTCACCTAAATTCGCGAAACAAACTTCGGTAACTTGGCCGTAATGACTTTGTATTGACTGAGGGCGGAAGGCGCGCTATTGTCAAAACGGAATATACTTCCGTGAAAATTACCATAATATGTTGTTGTAAGGTCTTTTCTTTATTGCCTCACATTTAAAAAGTGTAAATAATGCATTTCCATATAAAATATGACTTTTCATAGATATCGCATCCCAATACGTTTCCATAAAGAAGGACACATGGTCCGCAAGGATGGCTCCATAACTTCTGTTTGATACATTGTGCCTTCCAGAATGAGAGATCACAACAGCCAGGGAATGCCATGAAAACATTCCCCACACTAATCACGAGGCTAAAAAAATCTAATTGCGCTCTCCATTACTGCTAAATCCAATTTTTCTGAATATTCAAATTGTGGATGGCAATAAATTTGTAGCTGAAGGAAGTTGTCGAAAAATGTGAACTTTAACATTTTCCGGAATAATTAGAAATGTTAACGAAAAATGAAACATACCACAATTTTCTTTCAGCATTTTTTACGGCTATCTGAAGGACAACATGCACTTTCATATTAAGTTTTCATAATCAAAAGATGCATTTTCATCTTGCCGGTCAAACTTATTGAAGATAAACGGTCTCAATAAATCATGGCGATAACGTTGACCACAGACGGATAAATAACCAAACAGAGTTTTTGGCTGGTGAAAATAGATTTTTCGGTAATGGCACGAGTTCGTTCAGATTCATTGAGATTAAATAACTTTGGAAGGATCTCGCTTGAAATGGTTTCGGTGGTAGCATTGATGAGGACGGGCAAATCAGCTAGACATACAGACGTCGATTTGTCGGTATGGCAATTTACTCACAAAAAGTTAGAGGAAGTGATGTGCTAATAAGCAGGAACATGTATATCTAAAATTTTTCGCGTTTCAAGGACCCGATAATAAATGTTTTTTCTGACGGGAACTTGCCTATTTCTGTCTTGCCTACACAATTCTTTATCTTTATTAAGTAGTAAGGCTGGGAAATAAAAATTATACGCAATAAATTTGAGAAACTACATTAGGTAATTTGTTGTGTTAAAGTATAAACTCATCGTTTACTCTGGTAGTATTTCAAAATGTTAACATAGTAATTTATTTGGAGCACTGTCTTTACTCAGGGTATGTGCATACTCGAGCCGCCTTACCTGCACAGCTGTTCTTTTACCAGAGGGTAATCACCCCCGAGTGGGGCCAAAGATGGATGGGCCTTATCCGCCACACTCCCGCGACGCACAAGTACGTCGACAGGCTGGTACTGGAATGCCTGGGTTCGGACGCGCCCTTCAGCTCAAGAGCTACGCGGCTGGCTTTCAGTCGGCAATCAATGCGCTACCACAATGCGACCGGGAACTAAGGTCGCGCGCCCCCCTTTCCCGTCTCAGCACTGCAATTACGCTTTACTCTATCGACGTGAAGTTACCGGCCGGGCAACTAGACAATCTGTGAGGGATTGGTTAGTTGTTACCTTGCGTCTGCACGCTTTAACTGTGGGCGATCCGGGTATTCGAAAGAAGCCTCTTCGCCCAATCGCCATCTAAAGGTAGACGCGCCCTGTGACCCTAACAATTGGGTCACCGGGCAAACCCGGCAATACGGAGCTTAGGCATCTACGCTAGCCTACTGCACTGCCGTCCGCCTGAAACTAACGGACGTGAGTGCGCCGTGGGGGGGCGGGTTGTCGTCTTCAATTGTCGCACAAGAAACGCATGCCGCACCCGTCCGCGGTCATGATTCCGTCCTGCGGGGACTTGCAGACGGGTGATAATTTTCGTTTAAAAAAAAATATTTTATAATTATTTTTTATTATTCTTTTTATTGCCAATTTTTTGCGTGTATTTTTTTCATGATTATATATATATATATATATATATATATATCAACACAACCACATGCATCTCTTATTTAGGCAGTAAGCTGTTTGTCTTGACGTAAAAACGGGGCCCACACGTGGAGAACGGCTTCGGAACTGCAGAGTCAGTTGGTGGAATAACATAGGCGGCGAAACCGCATACGAGAAGGATTTTCGCCACATTGGAATTCACATAATCAATAATGATGGCCACGCCCTTTGCAATTTGAAACAGATATTTTGCCATATTGGTGGTACTATCACATAAAGCCTCAATGACATTTTCTCCAACAACAGCTCAATTTTTTTTAATTCTATTTTTTAATCTAACAGAGCAAAGAACGGTTTTTTAAAAATCGCGCAGGTGCCAATTTGACGTTGGAACTGTCTCAATCTCGAAAATTGCGAACGTTAACATTGCTTTTGGTATTCGCGCGCTTTTCCTTCGTAAAGTTTTTGTAACCATCACCGGAGAAAGGCCGCGGAATTTCAACTAAAAAATTGTATTGATGGGCGCCTGGGTAAGAGCGATAAATCTTGTTTGCCTCTGTACAGTAAATTACTGCCTCTCACACGTTTTCGTCGTCCAGAATCGGTTTTCTGTGGTTTTTGATACTAAAAACTCAATTGACGGGTAAAACGTGTCTGTCTCTCAGTTCCGTTTCGTATTGGTCAACGCTACGTGCCTGACACTGTTCAGCCCATCCTCCTTCAAAATTGATCTTCCGCCGAAGCGATGTAAATAAACTCTAAGGCCCAAATGGGTTTAAACGGTTTATTCGATTTTTTGAATGGTACTTTATATTGAAGCCTGAATTTCAAATTTAAAATCTTCTTAAAATTCGGTTCAATGTTTTGATAAAAATTTTGTTTTGGATAACGTAAAGGACGCTTAAGAGAATAGTGGCAGGTTTCATTTTCGTTAAAAGACTGATTTTGGAAGCATTGCAGAAGTTCAAATATGTTTCGCGCGTCTTCCTACAACTTACATCTTAAACTTTTTTTTTTCATTAATCGAAATATGTTCTTTGTAGACCAGATCAATGAATAAGAATCGCGTACGAGTTTTCGAAATATGAGTTGGATTTCGCGGAGCAATTTTTGCGTGAAATACGGGGCTAAGTTATAATATTTTATAACACTTTTTCTAAACTGCGGGTTCAATTTTTGTCCAAAATTTTCTCCTCGGTTAGTACAAGGTCGGGTAAGAAAGATTGTGCTAGTCCCAATTTTCAGAAGATCTTCATATTTTCGAAAATTGCAAAAAGTTAACATTTCAGAAACTACAAAATTGGAAGGTAGAGATTCTTGCCTTCAACAAAGTTGTTCTAAAATCAGATCTTTATAAAAGGGCACGTCAATTTTTTTGCAAGAAAAAATATTAGTTTTTTGCAATGATTAGTGCTTAAAATGTATAAGAATAAAAAACGTTTTCTCAAACAACGGCTCCAATTTTTTCTCTTTAATTTTCTTCACGTGTGTATCAAAGTATGGTAACAATAATCGGTGCTATGGCGCTAGTCCATTTTCGTTCAACCTCCTCCACATTTTCCGATAATTGCAAAAAGTATCGCTTCAAAGTAACAAATTCCAGTAGCAGTGATTTGTGTCATAAAAGGAAATATGCTTCCAAAAAATCAGCCCTTTAAAAAAGACAATGTAACATTTTTTTTTAAATAGTTTTCACGTCATTTCTGTTGAATATAATGCAATCATATATAAAAAAATGCATTTTCCTCAAAATAGCTCCAATAATTGTTGCTTTAAATGTTTTCTCTCGGATAAAAGAAGGAACGCACAATAGAATAGTAGACAAGTCTGCTTTTCGTTGACTTTCTGAATTTTTCCCGAAATTTGCCTCATAGAAATATTGGGTTGAGACCTTTAGATTTTTCCGTCAGCCCGAGTTGGACGCTCAAGGTGATTGCTTAGTGTAGCAGGATCGTACGGCAATATTAACTCGGGAGTCGGAGTTAAAGTCTCAATGCGAAAAATACTGTATGCTGGTTGAAAACATTTTGCAGTTCAGTAGTAGTATAATATTGTGGAGCAGTTACAAATTATCTGCGGGAGTAATGTGCTGTTGTAGCCACCACTATTTCCTTTAACTATTATTTTATTTTTTTTTTTTTTTTTTTTTTTTTTTTTTTTTTTTTTTTTTTTTTTTTTTTTATATCTAGAGAGATGTGTACTCCGAGTTAATATGCCGTACGCATTCCTGCTACACTAAGCAATCACCTTGACGTCCCAACTCGGGGTGACTTAAAAATCTA